ATTAAGTTACATGCATGTTGAATAGAATTGTTTGCAAGATTTTGAAGAAAACTATGGTCTTAGTTAAGAAAAAGTAATGTTAAGTGACATTCGGCTTTTCATTTTCCCTTATTCTTTTCATATCTCTTTATTTTGGGATAAAAACTTTCCTTCGTGTTGTTTTATCAGAAATTCCAAAATGAAAATCTGAAAACGGAAGCAGGAGAGGGTATGAAGATATTTGAATAGACAAAGTGCATGTCTAAACGTGAATGTGCGACTTCATATTTTATTGCTTTGCATTTCATATGGGCTGGTTATCACCCTGATACGGCCTTGCAATGTTCAGAATTTGAGAACTAATTTAGTGCTTTCTGTCTTCTTCTTGGAATTATGTGCTGACTTATAATTTAAAAGCATGTATCGAAGGCGTTTTTGACAGCTTAAAAATCATGTAGTTATTGTCCGCAGTTATTCATTACAATGTAAAGCACTTGATCATTCTTTGCAGTCTCTAAGCTTTGCAAACAGATCTAATTTGCAAGCACAATTCAGTATTTTCTTTCAAAAATATCAGTTATTTGGATATGGATAGTGGAAATTGGAGTAGTTTAACCACTGTGTTGCATTTAATTGTTCTCTTTGTGATAAGTTCCTTGTGAGTGCTTGCATTAAGCAATATGCTTGATTGCTGAAACAAAATAGATTCTGTTGTAGGAATCATTTTGTTTTTTATTTTTGTTTAAATTACTCAGATAACTTTAGAAAGTTCAGAATAGACTTTGAATTCAAGCACTCAAGCTACTATTGCTTGAAGTTTGTTGGCAATTGTTACTTTGAGAATTGTGCTTAATCAAGCTATTTGCAGATGATACATGGGAATCAGTCATGTGGTGCACATGTTGTTTTCTTTTCTTATTGAAGGATATAAAAGAGCATTACCGGTAATCTTCCAGTTTATTTGATTCCTGCATTGATAGTTCATCGTCAAGGCCTCTTAAAAAGGTAATGCATATTTACTTGAAATTCTGTGTAATTTTCAGTTAGAATTTGGTTACTTATTATTTAAGAGAATTTGTTTACTTTATATGTTAATTTTAGATTATTCTCTGTACTTTGGGCTTTCATGATTACCATTGTTGGTAAATGCCCTTTTACGATTTGATATGTGATTGAGCTTGTTATAGCATATGGATGCTATAGTTTTTGGCATTCTTTTGCTTCATTTATATTTTGATGAACAGAGAATTATACGTCTAGTTAGGTTTTAAGTCCTCATAATTAGAGCACCAGAAAAAACCCTCCAGTTGACTTGTTCTTTTTCTTCTCATTTTCTAGTTAAAACGAAAGTTGTGCTAGTCTTTTGCTTTCTTTCTGTCTTCCCCCCCCAACTCTTCTTTTTTCCTGCCATAATTGAGATCAGTGTTGTTATCATTATTGTCTCTTCACATGCAGATGCTCCATGTTATCATAGTATTGTTTGACATACTTCTTTTGACCTTAATGCAGGCCTTACACAATATTAGGAAAGGGTATTGTTGGCACTGCCAGATCAAGCTTATTTTTATCTGCGTATTGCACATCTGCTTGGTTAGTGTTCTATTATTTCTACTGTGTCATGCATTCTATTCATATTATTGTCTATTTGTTCTCCAAGATCAGTAGTTCCTACGTGTATTTCAATGTCATATTATTTCTAATGTTGACTTTATGTGCTGAAGTCTGCAGGATAAGGTAGGCTTTGAATAGGATACTAGGTTTGCCTGCCATCTTTAATGTCAAATTACAATGGCAATATGGTTTAGGAAATTTTATAATTTGATAGAAAATGAGGGACTGATACATGTTGAACGAGTCACCTAGCTGAGAAAGGTTACAATATAATCAAACAAAACAAGAATGGTGAGATCTTATATATGATGGAGCTAGAATTCTCTCTCTTTCTTGTACTGCATTTACCAAACATGAACTATGTCAGGCAAGAGAGTCAACATTATTTTATACAAATTGGTCATGTTTGGTGCATAGGATGATGAATAGGATAAGGTGATAATCATCTTATATTATGTTTGGTTTGTATTTAAAAAAAAGGATGAGATTACAAGGATTAATTATTTTCTTGGTATAGGATGATTTAATCCTCTCAAAGTGGAGAGGATTACTTTTAATCCATGGGATTGAATTTACATATACTATTATACTTTTAAAAATTACATCAATAATTTAAATTGTATAAACTTTGAAGAAGGATAATTTTGACCAATAAATAAATTATCTAATACTAGTCCTTGTACACATCAAATATAAAATAGGATGACACTATTTAATCTAATCCTATTCATAATATCATCTTATCCTATCCTATCATAATCTTGTATACCAAATGCATCCATTGAATATTTATACCAAATGTATAAGCTAGATGGGTTTATTCATAACAGGTAAGATGATTTATGGCATTATTTGCTCTTCTTTCATTATTATTATTATTATTATTATTATTATGTTTTCCACTTTGCTTTATGTCAAGATAAAGTTGATTACAAGTCAAACTTGTACATATTGCTAAATCAAATTAGTTTGTACCTTGAGCTATTAGATTTTGCTTCCATTGAAATTATTGAGATTTGTCACTGACTAACCACTAATTTTTATACAGGATGTGGACTCTGCATCCTGTTTAGGTTTTTCAGAAAATTGTAACATACCAACTGGTAGCAATGGGCCAGGTAAATCACCTTACCAATTTATCCTGTAATTGTAAGGCCAAAGTTTTGTTTTGTTCCTAATGTAGCATGTGTTATTGGGCAGTTTCCAACGGGTCTGGCCTTGGCTTATTGGAGACAGAAAAGTAGGCGGATTGAGATATCTCTCTTACTGCTTTGCACGAGCCATTAGAAGACTTCTTTCAATGCATGACCCGATGTTGGGTATTTGCCACAGTCAAAGAATCTGAAGAGACTGAATGTGGTAATTTTTTAGCTTGTCAACAGCAATCCATTAATGCACTGGCTACGCACAAGACGAAGGGAAGTGTTTTCGCTCGCAAGTTACTTAAAATGTTCTTGATTGGGTCTTTGGCGTGCGCTCCCCCATGTGAACCCCTCGTTGCAAAAATAGTTCAGCAGTTTGAGGGGATTTGGGGTTTAAGAGACATTTATAGCTGAGTATTCGTTGCTGTTGAGTGATGAATAGTATTTGTTTGCACCAATAGGCTGGCGGCAACAAGTTACTTGTAGCTGATTAGCAATGCAGGGTAGTAGAATTTACCCCTGCTGAGTTTTTTTATTCTAGTGTTGATTGTCAACATTGAGTAATTTCTGACAGCAACAAAAATGAAAACAAGATTTTGCTTAATAGTTAATTCATTCCTTGTAACTTATGATTCATTACATGAAATCTCTCTGGGTTTCAAGTTTGAGATGTCAAGGTTTTTCCATGAGATAAAGATTTGAATAGCCTATTCATTTCAATTTAATCCAAGGCATCAGGTTCTACTGTTTACATCCAAAATAACAAGGAAAATTATCCTTCATAATCTTCTCATATAATAAGAAAACAACACCATCAAATCCCAAACAAAGACTAAAAAAAAAAGTAAGAACCCCTAGTAGATCACCTAGATGCTGAAAAAAAACGTAAAAACCCTTATTAGATCACCTAGATGCCCAGTAGGCAGCCGCATTGGCTGCCATTCCTTAAACCTCATCCTCATGGAGAAGCATATTCGGAATTCCCTTATTAACAGGAAACTTCCTGCCCGTTTGGGGGCAAACAAGAGCACCTTCCTCGAGATGAAGCTCCAAGAGAGCATGGTGGAACTTTCTCAAAAAATCCAGGTCCGAATCTAACACCGACGGCTCAGGTGCCTCCTCAGGAAGCTCGACGTAACCCATGATTTTCGAAGCATCGGAAAACGCTTTCCAATCGATCTTCGGAAATATGTTCCGGAGGAAATCGTGGTTGATTTCGACTTGCTTTTCGACCACTTTCTCCACTTCGATCCCAAGAGGAAAGCCGTTGGTTACCCCCTTGATGTTCGAGGACAGAATGTTGTGAGTTAGCAACCTCATCTCGTTCCTTTGTTTCAGTCTTTTCGCTTGTTTATGTTTCTTTGTATCGGCTTCTGTGTTAAATAGATGAATAACAACACAAATCTAATCTGGTAGATGCTTGGCTTGTTCGCAGGGGCTGCTTTGGCGTATTTCTCATGGAAGCAGGAACATGGTCAAATTTTGGGGGTAATATAGTAATTTGAGATGTTTGGTGTTGTTAGGTATAAGCCCTAGTTCTTTAAGTCCGGTCTAGGTTTGGTCTGGTGACGCAGTTGTTTTAGCCAACAATAGAACTTAGGCCCAACTCACAATATATATCAATTTTTGGTATTAATAGATAGAAATAGAAATAAGTGACTAGTTGGGCTTGTTTAAAGTGCTAAGAGTGGGTTGAGAATGATTTTGGCAAAAACCTAGGTTCAAATGATTGCATTTTCTCTTGTATAAAAAATAATAATAAAAAAGAAATAATTTTAAGTTTTGATGTTGAATCTGATATCCTTCCAATCTAAACAAAAATTACTATTAACATTACATTTTTAGACTTATTGTAGCACGATGAGATCATATTTGTCTTTTTTTTTTTTTTTTGAGATAAAGATTGTATTTGTTTTAGTAGCATGCCTAAGTGAAAATAACATGAAATTGCATCAAGAAAAAAAATTTTGCCCAAAAACTTTTAAGAATTGAATATAATTGGTCACTAAATGGCACATACTGACAAATGCACATCTTGCTTGCTCTAATTTCTGTAATGAAAATTGAAAACTTGGTATCCATGATGGCAGAATAGGAGAAGAATCGAACCATATCTTTAGTTGTCACAATTGTGTATACATACATAAATACGTATGTGAACCAAGAAAAAACTCCTGAAGTTACAGATTCAACAATCCAAAAGAAGTTGGCAAACACTGATTATCCCAAAACTCGGTTGAAAAAAAAAAAATCTGTAGAGTTTATTGATTAACTTGATATGAAAGTCCACCACTTGTACAGACCAAAGCCATAAATTGTGGTGTAAATAATCACTCTCATGGGGTAGATCCTGTACCTGCACAGAACCAAACTTTGAGATAAACCTAATAATAATCGGATCATCTCCTAAAGTACTGGCAAATGGTTAGTTCCAATTCCATTATTTTCTCCAAAGTTTCTTCAACAAGTTCTTATTTGGGGAAGTCCAGACAGATAAGGAAATTGAATGAAAACATTGCAGCTTGAATGTACAATATTCCTGGCAGGCACGTACTTTGAATAGATCAGATCAATCATATAAGAAACCAGTATAGGATAGGCTAGGAGACGATTAATGTGTATATTGGTCTGAACAGTCATGCACCAGCCAAAAGGCTGATCAGAAACCACTCATGGTCCAGTCCACTGCCCATCCTTGAAGTGATTGAAGGTGGGTAGAATCTATCCCAGCCAATTCATTCAAGAGTTCAATTGTATGGAGTGTAAAACACCCATGGCTTCATTCAACCAACCCAAGTAATACACTGTACTTGAGCTAAATGGAGTAAGGTTGATTTTGGGTACTGTAATATGGTACTAATTAAATAACAGTAAGAAATTATAATGTAACTCTTTGTAATTTTAAGAGATAAAACTACAGTTTTATTAACTCAACCATCATGTGAAATAAATGATCTGATAATTTATGTATTCATATATGCATATTTTATGTCAAATATAAATCATAAAAATTATTATGTAGCTATATATATATATGTAAAATATGGAAAGAAGAAAATTGGAAAAAGTAAAACCAAAACTTGTATATCTATGAGGAAATAAATACTAACAGGACAAAAAAGAGAGAATTGAAGGAGAAATTAACTAACCTTTTTAATCCAGACCTTCGAGCAAGAACAGCCGCTCCTTCGTCAGCAGTAAACTGATAACACCACCGAGAAAAATCACGATCGAAGTAATCCCAGTCGGGCAAAAGTATCCCAGCAATCCCAACCATCCCAAAAGCATAGGTTATCACCATTTTCTTTAAAGAAAACGTGAATATCCCAACTAACACTATTACCACCGCTAGCCATACTATAGCTGACCTTAGAGCAGCATCGTTCGCCATTTGATCAGTTCAAGAAAAAAAAAAGAGACAGCTACTCGGCCGTGCCTAATAATAAAGCTTAAGGAACAAAAGAAGGGTGTGGATGTGAATGGTAACCCGTGGAGGCACTGAAAAATGAGGAAGAAAGAGTACGTTTTGGGTGTTTTTGATGAAATTAATGAAAGAACTAACCGCTTTTAATGCCTATAGTCTCAACGGTTCCTTCGCTTCTTTAAATGGTTGTTGGATAGAGTTAGTGTTTCTTAAAATTCCTCCGACTCTAACGTCTCATGCGTGCTACCGAGTCTGACATGTTTCCATTGCCATGCACAATTTCCTGTTCATGACTTCAACTTATTTCTGATTTCTTCGTCTCTTCTCTAATCATCTTGTTTCTTCAATGCTTTGTCTAAACCAGAGAAACATTAGTAGTAATATTTCTCTTCGTTTCACTACTCCTTTTTCCCGATTTTTTTGTTCAATTAAAATTTCAAACATTCTAAGAGATTAAGGTTCAGATTGAGTGATTGACGTTACAATTGGATTGCAAATTGTTAATGAAAATTTGGTCATTAAATGTTAATGTTACAATCTAATAAGTAATAACCACAATTTCGTTTTTGGTGGAACAAAATTCCTTAAACTATATATAAAAGGCCTCTAGAACACCTAAAAAAAAAAAAAAACTGGGTTCTGATCTATTGTTTGCCTCTTCCTCTTGTGAGACATTGGCTACAGCCAACAGGTTAAAATGTAGTAATTGATTGAAATTTTTATTTTAATTTTAAAATTAGAATATTGCATTTTTATTTAATGTAATAATTGCTATTATTAATTATTGCGTTTATTTGAAAACAAATGTAATAATTGAGTAATTGCGTCAAATTATTTTTAAAATAATCAATTACGACGTTTATTTATTCATTACATAATAATTGATTATTATAATATTTTTAACATCATCAATTATTGCATTTATTTTAAAAAATAATACAATAATAGTTCATTATTATTTTTTTTAAAAAATCAATTATTACATTTTTTATATAAAAGCAATAATTGTATAATTTAAAATTTTTAAGTAAATTAAATACTGCATTCTTTTGAAGATAAACATAATAATTGATCATTATTTTATTTTATTTATAAATGATTGCTCGAATATTATATCATTTATCTGTTTTTTTAACAAAATATTATATTTGATATGTTGTCAAGGATATTATGATAAAATACATAATTTAATAGATTCATATTCTCCCCAACAAAATACAAAAATCTAAAATTGAAATGTTATAAAAATCACACTTTCTTCCAGTAATCACATTTTCCCCAATATCATATTTTCTTTGGAAATTCAACATTTCGCAAATCAAACGTCCTTTTAGAGTTAAACCTTCTATTTATCACTTATAATTATAAATGGTTCATCAAAATTGATATACTGTATTTTTACCCTTGAAACAGTGTGATTAAGAATTATAGCCAATGAACATATGCGATTGTCTTGTTGCTTATTTGATAAATGAAGATTAGTTAGGTTAACCACTACAGAAGAAAATATTCACTGAGACAATCTCAAAGATAACAACATAATCATAAAAACTTTGTTTTCATTGTTTGTAATGTAAAATAATTAAAATCTCATCATCCAGTAGGTAACAACTCATACTAGTTGTTGACTTCAACATATGCTAGAAAGTCGGCTTTTTTTTTGGCCATTATCTAGTTGATTTTGAGTAGCCAAATTTGAATCGGATTGATCATGTCTTATTATTATTTTGTTCTTAAATATTAAATCACGATGAAATTTCATTAAAAGTTTTATATGCATCAATTTTTTTTTTTGCCACAAATTTCATAAGAACTAGGACAAAAACCTTCGCTTCGATTCAAGACTTGTATAATTTATATGTAATTGTTTCAAAAGAACAAGATAATTAAAAAATTTTGTCATTATATTACATTTACCATTATGAAATACTTTAACATCATAAAAATATAGCGAAAATAAAAAATTTATTAAATAAAAAAAAATACATATGTATAACTCAAATATAAAACTATAATTAAAACCCAAAAATAAATAAATAAAATAAATAAATAAATATAATGTTAGTGTGGTGTTATCCCGCATATGATAAATATTCAATATTTTATAATCTTATATTTAAGTTAAACCTCTCAACTTACTATCAATTAATTTTAAATTAATTATTTAACATGATATCAAAATCAGAATTTATTCTATTATCCTTTTCAAATCTATCACTTAGTAGGTTCCTTCCATATCCGTCTATATATGACGGGGATATGTTAGTAATAGTTTTATATTCAAGTTGAATATTTTTACTTGTTATCAATTGATTTTACTTAATATTAATATTGAATTAGATTTTATCAAAATAAATAAATATATTTAAATGTAAAAAATTCTCATGTCAGTCTTAATTTTAAATTTCGATACCTAAACTACCCCTCCACCTTAAAGGTGTTCTAAGTATACATGTAAATTTACTAAATAATATTTTTAATCATTGTCATTTTGATCTAAAAGTCAAAAGAAATGTAAAATTTATGTTGGTATAAGTGAATCCTTTCTCGTATATTATATATATACAAAAGAAAAAAAAAGGTCTTACTCCATCCACTATAATATTTAGCCACTTTATACGACTAACTCTTTGGTGAAGGCTTTTTGGGAGATTGTGATAAAAAAAAAAAATAATGTTCAAGCTCTTGTTGGTGCTTTTGTTATCTATTTATTTAATTTTGTTTTTTAAAAAATAAAAAGCAAAAGTATCATCCAAATGAAGTCTAATCTGTTTGATGAATAGCAAAACTTGTGGTTTCGGTGACTAGAAATGCCGATAATGGGTCAGAGTTTGATCATTCAGGGTCTTGTAAGGGGATCTCGGCTTTATTTTAACAAAAAAAAAATGATGAATAAAAAAAATAAATTGTAATGTAATTACATGCATCCTACAATCTGTTCAACTTCAAAATTGTTGAACTTCAGATTGGACTACTAGCCATTCAGGTTTTTGCCTAAATGAGTGATGTTGAGTGAAATTGTTTGATTAACTATCACTTTCACCCCTTTCTAACCGTAGCTCTGCTTCTGATGTCAGTTCCAGCAGAAGTCAATTCCCAAGTATGGCTGAAACTCCCACAAGTTATGGCATCAACCACATTTTTAATCCTAGTTAAACATAGAATAAACCAACTTGCTTCACATGATATTCAATTTCCAGGACATTTTCATAGCATATTTAAAATCCCCTAATGGAAGGGTGTGCGGCTTGGGCCAAATTTGACAGTATTGGCTTGTCTCATATAACTGAAGGAGACTGCAACATAACATATGCATCTCCAGCAGTAATCTCTGAAATTTGATCACCAAATTCTTTCGCCTTCATAGTTTGGACCATGGAGAACAAAAAGAAAAGAATTTGGGCCAGAATGTTAGTATGATGATCCATAATTATTCCTGTGTAGACAGAGCATCGGTGACCATGCAAATATAATTGATTAGAAAGCAAATATTAGGATATATTGACATCTGTATGCTTCTTACACTCCTTATACTGTTATTAGAATTTCGGATTGTATAGAATGGTGGAGGGGAAGCTGCCGTTTAAATCTGACAATTCAGAACATAACACGAAAAAGATAAAAAAAGTGATATAATTTAAAATTTTGATAAAACTTATATATAAGTATGACAAAAATAAAAAATACATATATTTTGTGTTTGATATATTAATAAAAATCTAATTTAATAATTTTTTTCTATATTTTACATGTATTATACATATACAAAATTATGCGGATAGTTGAATTATCAAGGCTACTGCCAGCCTCGTGTGGTTTCAAGCATTCTTATTGAGTAACATTCACGTGGGTCAGGTGTGTATAAATATAATTTTTTTATTGCATTCTGCGGGGCTCCAATTTAGTTATCTGTTCTAGTTTTGTTTATTCTAGGTCATACCAGACATTTGGAGTTGATTTGTCTCTTGTTTTGCTGCAAGGAAATTCAAAGCTAGCTATTAATTTATCTTAGTATACTGTAGAAATCAATTATATATACCATTACAAATATGAATCAAACACATTAGAGTTTAACCAGAGCTAAAAGTGGAATTGAGTCAAATCATACATTCGCTTGTTTAAACGTATGTATGTATATATATACAGCATAAACAATGGATTAGGTATGCTTCTGCAAGAACCAAAGTCATTAAGGCATATATGATTAAATTAAAAATGGATATAGGCCACGGAGAACGAGGCTATTCTCACAGGCCAACTTAATGTCAGCAAGATTTCTTGCTATTTCTTCCATCATCCAAAGGTCCTGATTAGGTTATCCATTAGGGACTTGAACACAAGTTTTCTGAATTGGGTTTCCAACTGTTCTTGTATATTTTTTCCTCAATTCCTAGAGACAAGCTTAATCGATAAGCCATCCTCATCAAGCATTTTGGTGAAAGATAGGAATTTGGATTACAGGAAGCTAATGTAACTTTAAAATTTTGAACTAGTTGCAAAAAGAAAGGAAAGTAAAAACTATTCAGAGGGTTAAATTAATTCAACAGTGAGAAAATTAATTTTTACTTAACAAATAAAAAGTAGGACCAGTTCTTCTGCATGATATGTCGGCATGCAGAGATTAAGATCATGACCGTGGCTGCTATTAAGGCCAACAAATTGATGGCCAAGACGTCAGGTTTTAGATGCATTGGTTGGAAACCTGCAGAAGCAAGCAAATCGGTTTGTTTAGCTGACACTTGAAAACGTAGTAGATCATATATATTTTATATAATTAAAACTGAAGGTTTTAGAGGTTTTAAATGACATCACAGCTTTATTTATTCAAATCACCCTGTGCTCCACCAGACAAGGATCCTTGGTTGAAGCACCAAATTAATTCTCTGTTACTATTCATTGTGTAAGAAAAGTCTGAGCGTTTACTAACTAATTTGAAGGAGAGAGACGAGAAAATGGGGGGTTTTACTTTTGCAGTGTAATGTTAATCTGTATAGAAAGAAAAAATAAACTATAACCAAAAATGGTCTCTCTCACTCTTGTGGCTGTTGGCAATTGACATTGACACTAACTACATTGACAAATAAAACAAGAGTTTAGGTTTGAAAGATCTTCTTAGCTTAGCTTATGAAACAAGGTAAGTTCCCAATCTTGCAGAAGTAAGAACCAAGAAACTACCAGCAGTCGGGTAGCTTTTGTGTAGAGCATTGAACTCTTAATTTTAATGATGAGATTCAAATTTTGATAGGTTCAAATGGTAAAAAAAAAAACTAATGCAATCTCAAAAATACCCCAGAAATAACTAATACTATTATTCATAGCAAGTTTTAATTTCTTTGGATAATTGGCTCAATCATAGGAACTGTTTTTTTTTTCCAAAAAATGAAAGTGCTCTGTTTTCTGTAAGATATGTATTAATTCTTTGCTTAATTACATCCCCAATTGTAAGCTGTAACCAAAGTGAAAAGAAAAATGTATGAATTATTTTGTTTTTCATTCCCCGAGCAATTATGAGTAACTTGTAACTTGAATAGTAGGAAGATTCAGTTCACATCTCAGACTTGTAACTTTTTACAGGTTTTGGGTCTGGACTTTTGCCATGTTCATACACTATCTCTGCCTTTCATTGAATGATTCCAAGTGCAAAGATACAATTTCTGGTGAATGATTTTCAATATGCTGTCTAAATTTAGTCTTCTCAAAATTTGGGTTGGTTGCTTTTATTTCTTCAATAAAACTTTTAAAAGGAAAAAAAAAAAAAGCATTGGCTTGTGCTACAGGATAACCTTCTGCTTTATTACTTGGTTTAAAAAAAAAACAAATGGATGCTCAAGAAAAGGGAAATTCTGCGACAGAACACGAAGATGAAGACAAACACTAGCTAGCAACAAATGCAATCGAAGTAATTATCGTGTGAAGAATTTCTTATGACTTTTTTACAGAAAATTAAAACTGGTCATGATTTGAGGTGTTTGCTGCACCAACTTCTCCTCTAACCGTGTACAATCTAGGGTCAAAATATGCTCATTTGTCTTCTTCTAAACCACGTGATTTTATTGATGAAATCCTGAATTTTTAATTTTAGTAATTAAAATTCAATTATGCCAACCTCGAATGTTAAAAAAAAAAAAAAAAACTAGCTACCATGTTTGTTGCAATTCTGTTTTCACCCATCTTATTAGATTTATTTTGGATAATTTAATCAATGGTGATTTCTCTGGATATTCCCCAATTAATAGTTACTTCAGTGGGCATGATGAAGATGTGCAAAAAACTCTTTGATGTATATATTTAAAAGCCAGAAGTTGGGGTTCAATCAAGCAAGCTAAAAGCCAAATTGTTTCCTTTTTCCCTTACAAATTCTAGCCTAAGAATTTTTAACTCAAACAAATATTAGTATCCAAGACTCCTTGTATATATATACTTTATGCAGTTTATAGTTCCTTTATTCATGGTTGGATTAAGTATTGCACTTCCATTAAATTAGAAAAAAATGTATATATTAACATCTTGGATTGTGTTGAATGCTTCTTTAATCGAAAAGAAGGAAATTAGAAGAGAAATTAATACACTAAGGAAAATGTTCCCCACCTTATTTTTATATCTTCAGGTTAAAAATTTTTTTATAAAAAAAAATTGTGTTCATTTGGTTGAGTACGTTACCTAAATTTAAGTTTTACCATGAAATCTAAAATAAATAGTACGACGTTAAAGAGTTGGAAGCCATTCGAACAAATAACTACGATGATGAAACATATTCTCCTTCCCTTGCGTGCATGAAATGGCTTCCTTTTGACCAATTTCGCTTTGCCACGTTTTACGAAATCCCATTTGCAATTTATCTGGAAGCCTCTAAAAGACGTTGCTGTCTGCTCTTTTTCTCACATTAATTACCTGATGTATCCTAGATTTTTCATTGGATACTACTTTTTGATCTTCTATTGAAACAACGTAAAGATTAATTTTGGATGTTTAGATGCAATTAGAAATTTTAATTTTATTTTATTTGTCTGTTGCATATCCATCATTTTTGCATTTTTACATGTGTATATATGTCATCCTAATGTGAATCGTGTTAGAAGGGTAAGCAAAATTGTAGGGTATATTTTTATTTAATAATTGGAGGATAGTAGTATGAATAAAGCTGATTGGGAAGCAGTGTCAAAATCTTAATGGCCAAACAAAAATCGAGGAACATTTTGTTATACTATTAATTAACTATCAAGTACAGGAAGAGAGGCTACTAATGATTGTATAAATAGCATGCTTGATGAGTTTTGGTGGTGACAAAGGGAAGCCAAGCGACCAAAGCAAAGGAATAGAGAGAGCAGAAATTAACAACATGGGAAGATCTCCTTGTTGTGATGAGAATGGCCTCAAGAAGGGACCTTGGACTCCTGAAGAAGACCAAAAGCTGGTTCACTACATAAAGCAACATGGCCATGGTAGTTGGAGAGCCCTGCCTAGGCTTGCAGGTTCAATTTTTAATCCTAATTAATCTCTTTCATTCTGATATCCTTTTCTTAATGTTCTTTGAAGAGAGGATGTCTATAAAGAAAAAAAACTAATGAAAATTGCCATTGCAGGTCTCAACAGATGTGGCAAGAGCTGTAGGCTCCGGTGGACCAATTACTTAAGGCCTGATATCAAGAGGGGCAAATTTTCTCAAGATGAAGAGCAAACAATTCTGCATTTGCATTCCATTCTTGGAAACAAGTAATTATACTGCATCAAATTTGATCTCATGATCAGACTATTGAAAGTTACTTCTCTTTTCTGTGTTTTAACTCTAAATTTTTTCCTTTTTTTGGTAAAAGGTGGTCAGCCATTGCAACACATTTACCAGGCCGCACTGATAATGAAATCAAGAACTTCTGGAATACCCATTTAAAGAAGAAGCTGATTCAGATGGGGATTGATCCAATGACCCATCAACCAAGAACTGACATCTTTGCTAGCTTGCCTCAGCTCATAGCCCTTGCTAACCTTAGAGACCTCATGGAGGGTACTCATCCATTAGATGAGCACGATGTAAGATTACAGGCAGAAGCTGCTCAATTGGCTAAGCTTCAATGCCTACAATTTCTTGTCCAATCTGCAGCTTCAATAACCAACAACTCATATAACCAAAATGGCATTGCAGACATGGAAGCTTTCAACTTAGTAAATTCATCAGTTCCTCATATTAAAGAAAACCCGGTACTAAATTCAGCCCCATTTTCACTTGTAAATGCTACCTCTCAACCACTCCACCATCCTACTCTATTATCTCACTTACCTGCAGACCCAGACCCACAAGTCCCTTTCAGTTTCCAAACATCGTTGAATGGTGAGAATGCGTCATTGAACAGTGAGGTGGGATACTGTTCCAACTTTAAAATGGTCAGCCAAGGAGATAACCAAACCGATAACTCATCATCATGGCTTCTTCCATCCCCTACCCTTCCTCCAACAGCAACCGAGACATCACTCAGCAATCCAGGAGGAGATGCAAGCAGTACTTCTAGCTACAATGGAACCGCCTCTCCCTACTGGCCTGAACTCTATTTCGAGGACTCTATGATGCATGAAATTTCTTAGATGTTATTTAATTAAAAGTTTGCATAGTCTTGGAGTTTGCATTTCCCATTGTTTGCTGTTACTGTAGATAAGCATTGCTTATCTCTTGCTCTAGTACATGTATTATTATCCTCTAATACCCAAATATCTCTGCATATTTATACAGTTTATATGTATACAGTTTTTGTGGTACATAATTTTATTTGGGATAATAATCAAATTATCAAACCAGGGTTTATTTGTTCAAACTTTTTCATCCTGTAATATTTATACAGCTTTTTGTTTGCATCTTTTTTTAGTAATCAATTTCAAGTGTTGTGAATTCACAATTAGTCTTTAGAATTAGAAGTTGGAATGTTCTATATGCATAGTCACTTCCTAATAACAAATGCGACTAAAAGAGGGTGATCAAAATCAGATTGATGAAATATTATAATGATATCTGCTTTAGTGGTAGTTGTGATTGTAAACTTCTTTTATTTCATCATCATTAATTATCCATTATAATGGTAAGTAAATAACTCAGAATTCTAACTCTACATACGTCTCTATTGTGGTCAGCCAGTAGAAGAGAAAGTCTATGGCAGCTCTCACGTTTGACCCATGCTTAATCAGTATACATGACCTTATTATAGCAGAAAATACTACAGGAATTCAGGCTTTTCGTCGTATTTTTTAGCTGAGGATGTATATATATAACACATGATTGGTCACTGCTGAATTGAAAGATAAATAACAAAGAATTTCATTTGTAAATATTTCTGATAAATTTAAGTTCTTAAAAAAAAACATGATTTGAAATTTCTTTTTCCCATTTAAAGCTAGCTAGGTATAAATCAAAAACTTAAATCATAATTAAAGAAAAACAATTTATTGCCATAATATATATAATTAGCATATTCAGCCTTCAGTCCTTACCTGCCACTTTCATATACTAATCACAAAATAATCACAAAACCCCATATGATTGTAGTATTTCCCATAAAAACAAAACATCCCTTTCTTGATGTTGCCACTCGTAGCCATCGATGAATGTTATCACCACCAACTATATATCCTATTGTCGTCTGATCAAATCCCTAGTCGCTCTGGTTTACATGATCTAAACTAGAAAAATTACATTATTACCAAAGATTTCATTTAACATACTATGTATAATTGCCATGACATAAGAAACTTTTAGTAGTATCTAATATATGGGGCAGGATTAGGTGGTGAAACTTTTTTTCTCTTTTAAATAGGATTAATGTAAGGGAGGAGAGGAGAAGAAACCTAACCAGATCTTGTTTTTCTATATTACTTTGACAAGCATGACCAACTTGACTTTAATCAAGAGGCAGGGCTATGGCTATTTATATAACGATTAAAGAAGCTCAAGGCAAACCTTTTTTCTAGAAAATTCAAAACTTTAACTTAATTAGTTCATATAACTATTTTTAAAAAGTAATGTTTAATTGGTATAGAATTCGAATCTCTGCAACATTTTTTTCGTATCTTTGAGCTGTGATTTAAAAAAAAAAAAAACTCTCTTGCAGAAAAGATAGAACTGGACGAGCACGCCATCAGGTAGTTGTCATGTGTTTGATATTAGCTTTTAATTCTGAAGACTTTGTAAATTTATTAATGGATTGGTTAAGTTGAAGGTGTGACAGTCAATCGCTTGAGAGAAAAGAAATCAAAGTTCTCTAACTACTCTAAATAGAATGAAAACTGTACCCCTCCTCCTGCATGCAAATTACTTACCTTTGATCATATATGTCTTCCTTCGATCAAATTCAAAGCTCACTTTTGCTTATTTGTAATTCAGATAATGATATCTATTCACCACCATTATAATTTTGAAAACCCACTTCTCCATGATGAAAAATGTACTTCAAAAATGGATTTTTTAGATTTTTTACCTAATACTTATTAAATGATATAGTAATATTGTCACACACATACATATATATATATATGAAATTTTTAGAATAAAAAAAGTTCTTACATTGTCATAACGGTTTTGGGACCGTCAGACTTAAATGAGTTTTAAAATCGAAGTAAATGAGGAAAGTCGTCACCAATCTTTGTTAGGGTGTGATTGATCACCTAAAAGTTTATCTTTTTAATAAAACTATAAAAACGCGTTTAAAGTTTATCAAAAAAAAAATTTCAGTCTACGAAAAATCAGGTTGGGTCCAAGAGTCAGTTACGTGTGGGGAAGGATTAGCACCCCTACAACGCCCATAAATTGGTCCCATTTAATTACGCACTATTTTTTATGTTGGATAAAAATAGTTTTAATTTGAAATTTAATACTAATTCCCTTCATTTGAAAAAATAAAATTTTGCTAAAATTTTTATTTAGAAATATCGAGAAAATCTTTAAGTTAAAGAATTATCTTAAAATTCTCTAACATCTAGGCAGAATTTAAAATAAATTTTTTCGCTTAAGATTTAACACAATAATCCTTAAAATGAAATAACAATCTTTATAGAAGATAATTATTAGTGACTCTTCAACATCTATGCAGAGTACCAAGAATTATTTTTTTCGGAATGTTATTTTTATTTTATTTTATAATATCACAAAATTTTTTTTTAAAATGTATTATTCTTTTTTTATTATAAAATATTTTATCATCAAACAGTAAATTAAAGAGAGAATAATGCCGATAATTATCGATAATAACACGCTAACATATGTATGCTAATGGATGTCATGTAAAATGAAATGCAATTTAAAAGTTGGGTTCTTAAGTATAATGAGATCACCCCGACTCTCCAACATTTAAGCAGAGTTTAGGTACGACTGTTTATATTTAAGATCTCAATTTTATTATATTTTTTATTTATTAATCTTATTATTAATGCGAATTAAGAAATTGTGTGAAAAGACTTAACGAAGTAAAATTTCTTAAATACCCCATCATCTAGGCGGTATTCATGAACAAATTGCTTCAAATGAAATTTTTCACACGTATCCTTAGGATTTTTAGGAGGTTTTGAGTAAGGGCTTGAGTAGAGATTTTGAAGGTTTGGTTTTAAGGTTTATAGGGTTTTAAGGCTTGAATTTTAGGATATGAAAGGTTTAGGGTTTTGATTTTTGAGTTTGAAGATTTTAGGGTTTCAGTTTTAAAAGTTTAAAGGTTTTGGATTTCAGATTTTGGGGGGTTTTGGATTTTAGGGGTTTAGATTTAAGGGATTTTGGATCTTTAGGGGTTTTAGAAACTTAAGATTTTGAAAATTAAGAATTAGTGTTTAAGGTTTCGTTTTTAAGAAAATATGAACATCTCTAAAAATCTCCAACATTTAGGCGAATTTTTGAAGCATGTTCGATTTTAATAATTTTTGAAAATTAATTTAAAATTTTCTTATATTTTTTTTTATGAAAATTTATTAATAATAATTCTCCAACATCTAGGTGAAATTATTTCTTTAGAAAAATATTTTTTTATTTCCTTCAACATCTAGGTAGGGAAAATAATAATAATTATTCTATTATTATTATTATTATTATTATTATTATCTTAAGCATTTTAATATATATTTTTAATTATTATCCTATATTGTTTTCATTTTATTATTATTAAAAATAATTAGATATTTATCCTAATAAAATTAAACATTTATCCTAATAAAATTAAACATTTATCATGCATAATATATAAAAAAATACTTAAAATAACAAAAATAATAATATATAAAAAATTAGAAAATTCAAAAAAAAAAAATTTTACCCGAACTGGATCGATCAACGGTAGTTCTGTTGGATCGAAAAGGGGTCGATTCGACGTGCGATTCGGTTGAACCGGTTGAGGAACGATTCGAATCGGTCTAGAGTGGTTCGGTCCGGCTCAATTGGACCGGTCAGCAGCTATGGAAAAGAACGGGTCAACGGGTTGGGTTGCGTCGATCCCGGGTCAGATCTGGGTCAACGCACAGATCTTCCTTGGTCTGAAACGATGTCGTTTTGGCCCTATGCTCAAAACGATGTCGTTTTGCTTTTAATGTTTTCTATAAAAATCAAATTTTTTTTCAGCTCACTTTTCTGTTTTCACACAAAAAAATTTTTTTAAGAGGTCTGGGTTCTTTTCGGCCCCCGTCGAAATTCGATTGTTGGACTGCCGCACCGACCGTCGCCTAGCTCTCCGTCGACGGTCGTTGTCGACGGTTGAAAACACCAAAAAACTTTCAGAAGCTCCTTTCAACAAGATCTTTCCAGATCCGACGTCCGTCTTACCAGAAGCAGCCCCGATCGACGTAAATCGGGGCTTGAAGCTTGCGGTTTTCTTTCTTTCTTTTTCTTTTTCTTTTTTTAGAAATTGACTTTTTATTTTTGTTTTATTTTGCAGGGCTTGCTCGGCGCCGATGGTTCCTCGCCGTAGGTGAGGACTGTGTTGTTTTTTTTGTTTCTATTTATGTGTTTCTGTTGGGATAGGTGTTTCTGATAGGCGAGAGGTTGGTTAGGGTTAGAAATAGCAGTGTGTCGTGTGGGCTTCTTTTGTGGTGGCTATTGGTTTTAGTGCTTCCCAGAGAGACTGAAAGGAAGGTAATCCGATGCTTTATAGGGCTGGGATGGTGGTAGCAGGTTGAACGTGCGCTTGGCAAGGTATGGGTGCTGGTTTTGGGCAGTCAGAGTGTGGTAGGGATAAGGGTATGGTGTTGGTAGTGGCAGGGCGTGGGTGGCCAGTGGTGCCGTGCACGGCACCCGCTGGCACCAGCCCTTTCCATTTTGTTTTTTCTGTTTGGATTTTTTGTTTATCTTTTTTTTTTTAAAAAAAATATGATTAAACCAATATTATTATTATCATTGTTAAAAAAATATTATTATTATTAAAAAATGTAGACCCAGACAAAATCCAGTTCTACAACTGCGCCTCTTTGCACATTACTAAAAATCAGTAAAAGGATAAAGATAAATACAACGATTTTGTCCAGAAGCAAATCATGGATTTCTCAAAAAAATTTCTTCTTTTTTTTTATTTTTTAAACTAAAAGTTAAATGATAAAGAAAACGATTGGGACGACACCGCTAGTCG